TAATGGAAAAATAAAACCCTGATGCACACCTTTCCTGATTTTAAGCCATTCAATATCCCTTTATTTTGTTCAAAAGACTGCCTCTCAGTCTATTGTAGATTCCACATGAGCACAAATAAATGTTCCTATTCTTTTTGGGAGCTCTGGTAGCATAGTGGCTAACGCACTTGACTGCTAACCAGAAGGCTGGCAGTTCAAACCCACCAGCCACTCCTCGGAAGGAAGGTTGGGCAATCCTACTTCTGTAGTGATACTGCCTCGGAAACCCAAGGAGGGGTTGCTATGAATCGGGGCCGACTCGACGGCACATAACAACAACAACAACAACAATTCTTCACAATGTTATCCATAATTTGTGATGATCCACACAGTCAAATGCCTTTGCATAGTCAATATAACACAAGTAAACATCTTTCTGGTGTTCTCCATTTTCAGCCTAGATCCATCTGACATCAGCAATGATAGCTGTTATTTCATGTCCTTTTCTGAATCCAGCTTGAATCCTTGGCTGTTCCCTGTCATTGTACTACTGCAACTCTTTTTGAATTATCTTCAGAAAACTTTACTTGCATGTGATATTGATGTTACTATTAGATATCATTCTACGGGACTGTCTTTCTTTGGAATGGACACAAATATCAATCTCTTCTAGTTGTTTGGCCAGGTAGCTGTCTTTCAAATTTCTTGGCATAGATGACTGAGCACTTCCAGTGTTACAGTTGTTTACTGACACATCTTTACTGGTATTCTGTCAATTCCTGGAGACTTATACATAGACTCTGGAAGTATAAATCACAAAGTAAGAGATTGTTGACAAACGAGTAGAAGAACAAAGGCAAAGTCCTGGAGAATTCTCATTGGAAGCCAGATGCATTAATTAACAAAATGATAAGAATAGGAGTAAGGGATGAGAGTAGGAAACAAGGAAATAAGAAAGGTATGAGAGTAGGAAACAAGGAGAGTGTCAGGCTCTATGGGCTGGGTGAAAATCCCTCAAGCTTGGGCTTCAGCTCTGCCTCTTGCTCCCAGCCCACAAAGCTAGAGGCATCTCTTCACTCAGGCTGCTGGGGCTAACAAGCCCAAGGTCGACAAGTAAAATGGCATAGTCTTGATGTTACCAAACCACACAGCAGGCCATTGAGTCAAGACTATTGAAAGTTCCAAGACTGGCAGAACATGGCAGGCTGCTGAACAATGACACAGCTACATGCAGGTTTCAAGAACACAATAAGCTAAAGACCATTCCCTAAGCTGCTTCTTATATATGGAAAGAAGACCACATCCCTAAAGCAGCTACTCAGCTCCTTGTGGTAGATCCCACCATGGAGTTGATTGCCAGTCATTATGGGGAATAACTACTACCAGCTGCCCAGCCACTCAACCGGGCCCAGCCAAGTTGACACACAACCTTAACTACCACAAACTGTGATAATCTATTGTTTTTGAGACATTGGGACTTTGTTGTGTTTAATTGGTGATTGTATGTTGGAGTGATTCACCCAAGATTTTTGTTTTCTTTTTTTGGATGTATCTGAATAAGCAGGATATCATACTCTTCTATTTGCTAGTTAGTAGCACTTATGCAATCAGCACCTGTCTCCTGATGGGTATAATAGAGAATGAGAGTGACTGCACAGATCTCTGTTAATTGTTTGTGAAGAGCAGTTAAGGGTGAGTCAGGCTCTTATTGGTGGTCATGTATGGTTGGCCAGTTGGTGCAGAAGGAAGTGGTGGCTCTCATTCTGTAAGCAAAGCTGCAGGAGGTACGGGTGTGGTTGCATCATACAGGCACAGTTGCTGTCTCCCACTTTCCAGTCTTCCATGTCAGATATGTCCTTGAGGTTCTCAGCAAGTGGAGCCTATTCTTAGGTCCCTGGAATCTGAGAGAATGCCATCACTTTAAATTGTCCAAAATGGTTGAACTGCTTGTAAACATTCAAAATGGCTGTGCCCTCTGGACAGCCAAAAGTCCACAGCTCAGCTGGTCTCCCTCCTCACTGCTTCCTCTTTTATTTACCAGCCACCAGTGCAGTCCTCTATGCAGCTCCTGGTTAGCAGGGCCAATTTTTAGATTGAATCTTAGGTCCTAACAGCACTTGGCAATATCCATGCATCTGTGCCATCAGAATTGCTAACAGTCCGCAGCTCCATATGTCTCCTTTTTTCAGTGTTATACATGTGGTTCTACTAGTGAGAGTTTAGTCCACTTCTGTATCCTTCCTTTCAAAGCTCAGGGCTCCAGGATTATCTTCTGTATCTGCTTTATTTGGTTCCCCTTTTCTTTGTTGAAGAGGGTCTGTGTAGTTTGTTTGCCTATTCCACCATCTTCATTTACCATCTCGTTACTGACTTTTAAGAGTTCTTTTCATATTCTGGATACTAGATTCTTATCATATATATAACTTGTAACAATTATTTTCCCATTCTATAGGTTGTCTTCTTACTGTCGTGATAATGTCCTTTGACGCACAAAAGGTTTTCATTTCGATGAAGTCAATTTCTCTATTTTTTCTTTTGTTGCTGTGCTTTTCATGTCATATCTAAAAAATCATTGTCAAATCCACAGTCAAGAATATGTGCCACTGTGTTTTCTTCCAAAAGATTTATTAATTTAGCTCTTACATTTAGGTGTTTGATCAATTTTGATTTATTATTTTGTATATGTATTTTTTGTCCCAGGATCATTTGTTGAAGAGTCCATTCTTTCCGTATTAAATGGTCTGGCATGCTTGCTAAAATTCAATTGACAATTGATGTATAGGTCTATTTCTGGACCATCAATTTTATTACATTAATCTATATGTGCATCCTTATGCCAGAACTGCACAGTCTCGATTACTGTAGTTTTGTAATAAATTTTGAAAGCAAGAAATATGAGTCCTCCAACTTTGTTCTTATTTTTCAAGAATGTTTTGGCTTGCACTTCTATATGAATCTTAGAATTAGCTTCTCCGTTCCTTCAAGACAGAGCTTTTGGATTTTGTTAGACACTACATTGAATCTGTAGAACACTTTGGGAAAGATTGCCACCTTAATAAATTAAATCCTCCAATCCATGAAAACGGGATGTTTTTCTATTTATTTAGGTGATCTTTAATTTCTATCAGCAATATTTTGTAGTTTTCAGTGTACAAGTCTTGCAACTCCTTGGTTAAATTTATTTCTAAGCATTTTATTCTCTTTAGTGCTATTGCTAAATGGAATTATTTTCATAATTTCCTATTCAGATTGTTCATTGTTATTATATAGTAGCATTAGTAATAATTCTAGTGATTTTTATGTGTTGATATTGTGTCCTGAAACTTTGTTGAATTTGTTTATTAGGTCTATTAATTTTGTTCTGTTTTGTTTAAATTTTTATTGTGATTTGGGTGAAAATTTACAGAGCAAATTCATTTTCCATGCAGCAGTTCATACACATTTTGTCTCATGATATTGACTGCAGTTCCCCACAATGTAACAAATCTCTTCCCACTTCCTCCCTGTAGGTACTTCTTCCCTGTGTCCTTCTCTCCCATGCACTCTCACTGCCTGAGCTATCTCCCTGTGCAAACACTGCCCTTCTGCTCTCCCATGACTGATGGGTTGAAGGAGTGGACCTATCTGATGTAATTGTTCACCCCATATGCCTATCATTTGGGTGGAAGCCACAGTAGTGAGTTCAATTCCAGACCTGAGGGGTGGCTCGGGGCCATAGTCTCAGGGGTCTCACCAGGCTCTATCAGACCAGCAAACTTGGTCTTTTTTTTATGATTTTGAGTTTTGTTCCACATTGGTTTCCTACTCTCTCCAGGATCTCCTGCACCAATTCCCCTCCAATTGGTTGACAGTCGTAGCTGGGTACCATCTAGTTCTTCTGGTCTCATGGTCATATAGGCTGAGGATCACATGGTCAACCAGTCCCTTGGACTAATTTTTTCCATTTGTCTTTGGTTTTCTTCATTTTTCTTTGCTCTAGATGAGGAGAGACCCATCATTGCATCTAGGTGGCCACTTGCAAGCTTTTATGCTCCCACTCATTACTCATCAAAGTAGGATGTAGAACAATGTTTTTGTGTATTATGGTATGTCAATTGAGCTTGATGTCCCCTGCATAGTTCTATTAGTTTTTATAGATTATTTTTCAGGATTTTCTATGTAATGTCACCCCCAGATTAAGATTGTTTTACTTCTTCCTTTCCAATTTGGATGTCTTTCATTTCTTTTTCTTGCCTAATTGCTCTGAGTAGAGTTTCCAGGACAATGTTGAATAGAAGTAGTGAGAATGGGCATCATTGTCTTGTTTCTGATCTTAGGAAGCAAACTTTCAGTCTTTGATCATGGACTATGATGTTAGCCATAGGATCTTCATAAACCAAATATGTTTTTTCTTTCTCCTCTTTCTCTCTCTTTATTGTGTTTCTATGTTTTGTTGATCTTGGTTTTGCCAGCTTACCATTGGCTTGTCCTTGCTTTGCTGCTTGAGCCTGTGGAGAACTTCCAGGCAAGGACTGAGGAGGCAGCTCAAGCTCAGATATTCCCAAAACTCATTAGGAAGTCAGGTTATATGTGTGTCCTTTACCCTCTATGTAAATTGTGAGATATTAAAAGTGTGTGATTGTCTGAGTATCACACAATGTAACTTCAAAAATTATAATCAACAAAAGTCAAAAATGGAAAAATAAAAGAAAAAATAAACCAGGACAAGTAATTGAACAGTCTTCTATTAGTACTCATTTTGTAATTATTCTCATATTTCATTGATATACATTTGAATTTAGCAAATAGATCTGAATACCACTTAAAAGCAAGAGTAACATCTTTTATATATGATTCACACACATACACATGTCCACAACAATCTGTGGGACATGCTATCCTTCAATTAGCATGAATTGTTAATGTCTAGCCTAATAACATGAGAACCTAGGTGCTCCTTTCCCTTGAAACATGATGAGAAAAGCAGTAGATGGGCTCAGTGTCTAGAACTCATCTGTCATAGTGACTAAGTCGCTTTTAACATGTCCAGATGGAAATGTATCAGCCATGCTTTTGTATTACCCATTGTTAGTAGCAAGCACTTGTTCAAAACACAGAATAAAAGCTGAAATATTCTTCCCAACTTGTGTGTTCCTGAAATCCATCCTGAAGAGAAGAACAGGGTATTCTTTTGAAATTGCACCAAGTCACATTAAGTCATTTAATGCAGTATTTCATAGAATACTCTAGTTTAAATGAGTCTCCTGCAAAGCAAATTCAATGGAACCTCTCTTAATGTAAACTTGTTCATTATATTATTTTTCCCTTGAGATGTGGAAGTAAAAATAAAATCAGATCTCTTCTTCTGAATGGACCAGATATTTGCCACTTCAACACTTTCTGCCTTATTTCTCAATCATGATCCTTTATTTTCTTAGGTAGCATCTTCCAGTAACAAACCTTTATTAACAGATTATATGACATATAGTGATCACATAACAAGTATTTTTTTAAAAAATCCAATAAGGCATTTCCTCAGTATCCTTCATATTTCTTTTCTAGCTACTGCAATAAGTAACAATAAAGTTTTTTAAAAAAAGAAAAAGTTTGGTCAATTATTTATTATATTTAAAGCACAGAGAAATAACTCATTTAATCCTCACAATAATATGTTGTTATAAACCTTGTTTTATAGATAAGAGAATTCAGATAGCAAAGAACTTCCCTCAAGTGAGATACTAATCATTAAGAGGACCAAACTTTAAATTCATCCTCTAGTTCATTAACCATCAATCACTCCACCCTATAGTTCATTAACCATTACTCTGTATTGCTTCTTGAGCAGTAATCACATTTTCTATTACTAGCTCTGGTATACTGTATTCCTGTAGTGGGACAGAGCATGAAATTTTTATAGACAACAATTTCCCTGTAATATGCGTCACTAGGAATTTTCTTGCTTTTCTTTAGCTCTAATATGATGGCACACAGCAACAGTGCAGCTTTAGGGTCCATGGTGGTTCAGTGGCAAAATTCTCATTCCATTCAGGAGACCCATGTTTGATTCCTGGCCAATTCACATCAGCACAGCCACCACCTATGTTCATGGAGGCTTCCATGTTTCTGTGATGCTGAACAAGCTTCAGTGGAGTTTCCAGACTAAGACAGACTAGGAAGAAAGGCCTGGTGAGCTACTTCAAAGAAATCAACCAATGAAAACCCTTCAGATAGTTATACAATCCCATTGTGTATGAGGTTTCCATGAGTCAGGTACAGACTGACAGCAGCTAATAACAGCAACAATGCTGCCTCAGAAATTTTTCCATGAATCTTTCTGTGTAGGAGACATGCAACTCATGATTACCCTCTGAAGAAAGAATGTTCTGAGATAACCTGGATTTTTTACATTTTTCCAAGAAAGAGGAGCAGTGAAATACCTCTTTTGGGTATGCCTACTGGTTCCACATACAGGAAACGTACTTCCCTTTGTTTTGGAGGAAGAGAATTTTACTGGAAATATGTTTTCCTGTTATCTGCTATGAACCTCTAGTTAGTAATTGTCAAATTTGTATAATGTCTACAACACAAAAAATAAAAAAAAAAAAA